TTGCTGGGGGTCATGGCCTGCAGCCCAGGCATGTACCCTGACTGGGAATCAAACCTGCGATACTTTGGTTCGCAGCCCGAGCTCAATCCACTGAGCTACACCAGCCAGTATATGTATGCTTTTATGCCAGTACCATGCTGTTTTGATTACTGTGGCAGTATAGTTCAGATTAATAACAGGTAGAGTGATACTTCCAATTTTGTTCCTGTTTTTCAAAATTGCTGAGGCTGTTCAGGTCTTTTATGGTTCCATGCAAAATTTTGGATTATTTGTTCTAGTTCTGTAAAATAGGCCATTGTTATTTTGATAGGAACTGTATTGATCTTTAGTCATTGATTAGTATGCACATTTTAATGGCAATAATTCTTCCTACCTATGAACCATGGTATATGCCTCCATTTACTTGTATCCTCTTTAATTTCTTTCTTAAGTATCTTACAATTTTTCAAGTCCAGGTCCTTTACTCCCTTGGTAATTTATTCCTAGATATTTTATTTTTTTGATGCAAGTTTAAGTGGGATTGTTTTCTTAATTTTTCTCTGATAGTTCATTATTGGTGTACAAAATGCAATCAATTTCTGAATATTTATTTTGTATTCTGCTACTTTACTGAATTCATTGATCAGTTCTAGGAGTTTTTTGGTTGAATCTTTGAGTTCTCTGTATACAGTCTGTGTCATCTGCAAATAATGACAGTCTTACTGGTTAATTTACTTTCCAGTTTTGATGTTTTTTTTACTTCTGCTTGTCTGGTATGGCTATGACTTGCAGTATTATGTTGAATAAAAGGGGTGAAAGTGGACATCCTGTTTTGTTCCTGATGTTAAGGGAAATGCTGTTAGTTTTTCTTTGTTGAGTATGATGTTAGCTGTGGGCTTGTCATACATGGCCTTTATCATGTTGAGTTATGTTCCCTCTGTTCTTACTTTGCCGAGAGTTTCTATCATAAATGGGTGCTGAATTTTATCAGATACTTTTTTCTACTACTGTTGATATAATGTTGTGGTTTTGATCCTTCATTTTGTTTATGTGGTGAATTACATGTACTGATTTTCGAATGTTGTACCAACCTTGCATTCCTGGAGTAGGTCCCATTTGATCATGGTGTATGATCTTCTTACTGCACTGGTGTATTGTGTTTGCTAAATTTTGTTGAGAATTTAGCATCTGTGTTCATCAGGGATATTGGCCTATAATTTTCTTTTTTTCTTTTTACCTGGCCTCAGAAAATAGCTTTGGGAGTCTTCCCTCCTCTTGAATTTTTTCATGTAGTTTGAGAAGGGTAGGTGTTAATTCTTCTTTGAATGTTTGGTAAAATTCATATGTGAAACCGTTTGGTCCAGGACTTTGTTGGGAGTTTTTTTATTACTGATTTGATTTCATTTGTTGTAATTGCTCTGTTTCAGATTTTCATTTCTTCTTGATTCATTTTTGGAAGATTGTGTGAAATTTCTAGGTATTTATCCATTCAATCCAGATTGCCCAATTTGATGGTGTATAGGTGTTCATAATATTTTCTCAAAATTTTTGTGTATCTGCAGTGTTAGTTGTTACTTCTCTTTCATTTCTGGTTTTATTTATTTGAACCATCTCTTTTTTATGAGTCTGGCTAAAGGTTTATTAATCATGTCTATCTTGTTTATCAAAGAACCAACTCTTGGTTACATTGATCTTTTGTATTGCTTTTTTAGACTCTCTCTTGTTTATTTTCTCTCTGATATATATTATTCCCTTCTTCTCACTGTGTTTTGTTTTGTTTTGTTTTTTTTTGATAAATTTAGAGTGTCCGTGAGTTGAAGTTTTATTTTTCCAACTAGTTCTTGATCTATGATGCTGAAGTGTTTCAGGCACCAGCCTTGTTGGATATAGAGTTGTTAACACTTAACAAAAGGCAGGGGGGGGTCTTAACCAGGACAAGTGTTCAGAGAAAGTGAACTAGACTAGCAGAATAGATTTATTGATGTGGCAAATATTTTCCTCAAAAACCAATTTTGAAAATGGTATGTCATCAGTGTTCCACGATCTACTCTGTAGAGAGTGGCTCAAATATGTATATTTGAAAAAAATTTTAATTTTATAAATTTTCTCTGTAAACCTATAGCCTATCTAAACTTAAGATTTTTTATATCCTTTCCTTTGGGAGTAGATGCTGAGACTAGGAGAGGGGGCAGAAAGAAGAGATGGAAGTGAAAAAGGAATAAATAATAATAGAAGCCTGGGGGTGTGGGAGAAGGATAGGGAACTGAGGGATTAAAAAGGGCAAAATTAGAAGACATTATATGAAGGGAAAAAATGATACTTGAAGAAATTTTTTAAAAAGACAGCAAAGGATTATGTTAAGAATAAAATTCATGATAGGAGAAACAAAGTAAAAATTGTAGCTACTATTTGCTGAGCATCCATCCATTATGGGCCACGTCACTGTGCCACATGTCCTGTCATTTCATTCTCAGAACCACTCCCAGTAGGTGGTTGGGTTCCCACGTTACATGTGAGGGAAGTGGGACTCTCAGGGACCCAACAACAAGCAATGAAGAAGTACTACTGCCTTGGTGCTCTAGATTGAAGCTTTTTCTCACCAATTTCTTACCTTTTCCAAGGATTGTTAGTGTGTTAATACCTATTTTAAAAAATTTTCAATTTTATAAGTGAGCAGGAACAAAAAAGAACAAATACAGGTATAACACTAAGTTCTGTATCAGATGACAAGGTTATCAATTGAATGAAACTAGTAATAATTAATTAGAGGCCCTGTTACCTTTTCTTCTTGCTTACCTTCCTCAGGAAGGGAAGTTTTCCAAAGAAACCTCCAAGTGAAGGATGAGTTAATCACATTTCTTTACCAGGCAGCAGGACAATGTACAAGATGATCTTCTGGCACATTATTGCTATTAAGTTTCATATTTTATTTTGAGTATTTTGTCAGGAAATCAAGTAATATACCATAATTATATAATCAGTTATTTATTTTCCAAAGTAGTAACTGTCAGTGAAAAAAATGACGTATTTTTTAAAAATTAGAGATAGGCTTTGGAAAAAAGAAAATGAATTATATAGTTGTCTTTCCTGAAAAACAAAAATAATTTCTTTTCAGGAAAGAAAAAATCATTACAAGGAAAATATAAATAATTAAATTTTACAGGTATCTTATTCTCATTTCAGTCTTGCTATGACTGTAGTTAACTGTGGCACTAGGGGACTTTAAAGTTATGTCTGAATTTTGAACTCTCTTAAAAATCATAAAAGAATTTCTGAGACTTACATTATTTTAGTACCTTCCTTTATCCCTGTTTCCTTTACAGTATCTCATAGATGTAAATGAATCGCTCAAACTCAACTTCAGTTGGGGTTTTGGCTTTACCATATTTTGCCGTGTATAGTGTGCACCATTTTGACCAAATTTTTTGAGGGAAAAATACATATGCAACATTGTTCATGGGTAGTACTAATTCCTTATCTATATAAATGTTTGTAATTCTTTTATTTATGCGTATGTGTGAAAAGTATAACTGTAGAAAGCAATAATAATATCTGTATGCAAAGGGTATCCTGAAATATGATCATTGGTTTTGTTTCTAAATATAAATAAATAAATAAATAAATAATATAATTAAAAAATTAAAATGAAAGATTTTTTCCCCCTGAAAGTTTGGTCCAAAAACATGGATGCACATTATACACAACAAAATACAGTAGGTTGTATTTTGTGTATACTGAGGAGCTGGTTTGATTGCTCACATTTTTTGTGAGGCCTAAACTTCATTTTGATTTATTTTAGAGTTACTCATGTCTATTAGAAGTATGTTCTTTCAATCTAGAGAAATAACTATTTCACGCAGTGATATTTTCACTGATATGTCCCCTAGAGTAAGGGACACAAAAGAAAGAATAAACAAATGGGACTACATCAAAATACAAAGCTTCTGCACAGCTAAAGAAAACATCAACAAAATGAAAAGGAAACCAACTGTATGGGAAAATATGTTTGCCAGTAATACCTTGGACAAGGGTTTGATTTCCAAAATATATAAAGCACTCACACTACTCCACTCCCGGGAGATAAACAACCCAATTTAAAAATGGACAAGGGGCCTGAACAGACACTTCTCCAAGGATGACATACAGAGGGCCCAGAGACATATGAAAGAATGCTGAGCATCACTAGCCATCAGAGAGATACAAATTAAAACCACAATGAGATACCACTTCACACCGTTGAGAATGGCCATCATAAACAAATCAACAAACAAATGCTGGTGAGGCTGTGGAGAAAAGGGGACCCTAGTACACTGTTGGTGGGACTGCAGACTGGTAACAGCCACTATGGAAAACAGTATGGAACTTCCTCAGAAAACTAAAAATGGATCTGCCTTTTGACCTGGCAATTCCACTACTGGGGTTATACCCTAAGAATCCTGAAACACCAATCCAAAAGAACCTGCGCACCCATATGTTTATAGCAGCATAATTTATAGTAGTCACATGCTGGAAGCAACCTAAGTGCCCATCAGTAAATGAGTGGATCAAAAAATTGTGTACATTTACACAGTGGAATACTACGCAGCAGAAAAAAGGAGCTCCTACCCTTTGTGACAGTGTGCATGGGTGTGAAGAACATTATGCTAAATAAAATAAGCCAGGCAGTGAAAGACAAATACTACATGATCTCACCTGTAAGTGAAACCTAATCAACAAAGCAAGCAAACAAAATGTAACCAGAGTCATTAAAATAAAGAACAAACTGATAGTAACTAGAGGGGTGGAGGGATGGGATAACTGGAGGGAAAAGGGGAAGGATCATCAAGGAACATGTATAAAGGACACGTGCAAAGACAAAGTGGGTAGGATCCAGGATGGGTGGGGTGGAGGGGAGTGGTGGGTGGAAAATGGAAACAACTCTATTTGAACAACAATTTGAAAATGCTGTTAAAAAAAGAGTGAGAGGGCAATAAAAAGTGGTATTAAATCTCTCTTCTACCCCTTTACCACTTATTCTCAAGGCTCCTGTTCAAAAGAGTACACTTATTCCAGTAATTCCCATCACCAAATCAACAGGCTCCCGGTTCCGGAACAGTGTGGAAGGATTGAATCAGGAGATTGAAATAATAATTAAAGAGACTGGGGAAAAGGAAGAACAACTTATAGTAAGTATCCTTATATATTAACTCTTCTAATTATTAAAAAATTCACAATTTTGTTTTCCCTATTTACTTAAGTGTTTTCTTTATTGTTGAGAGAATGAAAACTTTTCATTTCTTGAATCTCATAGAAACAGTTGATGTGACTTAAATTTGAATTCTTCAACAGAAACTATTTTTTGCTTATCTGTATTTAAAAATCACTGGACAGGCATAGTATGTTTCTAATTGCTATAACTCCATTTAACAAATATTTAGCTTACTGATAAGTTGGGGAGGGAGGCACATGACATCAGATCCTTTCTAAACATGAATCTACCTGTTTCTTATTGTTTGTCACTTAATATTTGGTTAACTGTAACATCAGCTCTGCCTACTTATCATGCATATAAGAATGTACACTGTTCTAACTATAATACACATAAGAATGATTCACATGTAAGACACAGTGAGAAAATTTTCCGTTTATGTTTAAAACCATGAAACAGTATATTAAAGCTTTTCATCAGTGAAAGAAGAATCAAAGAGTTCGAAGTAGTATTTTGTTGATATTTAAGATTAAAGGTTGATTTAGATTAGAGAACCCTTAAAAATAAAGATTGATTTAGATTAGAGAAAACACAGCTCCATATACCCTCTCCTCCATACTGCATGATAGAGGAACCTTTCCCTGATGTAATAAAGGTAAATGAGCCAGAGGTGAACTTGGAGTTGGTTTCCCTGGTAAGTGTTCCCCACAAGCTTTTTTCAGATTGCTCTCCTTGATTCCTTCCTGTAATTAGCACTGTCATGATTAACCTTTTCCTCATGTAGGAAGGTTTTGTTGAAAACACTCTTTCAGGAAGAGTTGGCAGGGGGAGGAAGTAACAGGGCCTAACATTTTCTTCTAATACAGAACCTAATGTTAAACCTAGATTTCTCACTTTACCATGGCCCTTCTTTATCATTTTTAAAGTAATATTTAGCCCATGATAAGTAACTTAGTACAATTTATCATTCAGCAAGCCTTGACTACCTGTCAAGTGCCAGACCCATGCTGCTTGATTCTAGTGGGGCAGTCAGAGTAGACAGGAATGTCACTGATGGAGCAACACAAAGGCTTCTTTCTCATTAGACCTACTAAGTCAGGGATTTCTGACTTACCAGTCTTCTGGAACAACGGGAAGGTCGACACTGGGGACATTTCTGCGTGAATTTCAAAATCAGTGATAATTATACATATATTTAAAAATTTTATAGCCACAAGATATTCCAGATGGCCATCGTGCACCTCCCCCCCTTGTACAGAGAAGTAGCAGCACACGCAGCATCGACACACAGACCCCCGGCGGGGCAGACAGGGGAAGCAACAACAGCAGCCGCTCTCAGTCTGTGTCCCCCACGTCATTCCTCACCATCTCCAATGAAGGTAGCGAAGAGAGCCCTTGTTCAGCTGATGACCTGCTTGTTGATCCCAGAGATAAAGGTACAATGCAGGAGGAATTTGTTACCAGATAAGGGAATACCACCTATTTTATCTTTTATCCTGTTTATTTTCTAGCAAAACATACACATTTAAGGCTACTAAGGTAATTACTCTGAGATGTTTCAAAACATAGATTTAAAAAAATTGGAGTACAGCACTGACCAGTATAGCTCAGTGGGTTGGGTGTCATTCCACAATGTGAAAGGTCAGCAGTTTGATTCTCATTCAGGGCACATGGCTGGGTTGTAGACCAGGACCCTGACTTGAGGGAGTGCAAGAGACAACCAATTGATGTTTCTCTCCATCTCTTTCTCCCTCCCTTTTCCCTCTCTCTAAAAATAAATTTAAAAAATTTTTTTTAAATAGTACAAAACAGTAGGTTTTTACTGTAGTGTGCTCAAGTGATGGTCAAGTTGGGTGGGTTTGTGGGCTTTTATTTGTTCCTTTCTTTTTTTTTTTTTGCACCTGTTAATACAACGTCCTTATTAGTGAGAAACATTTTTTTTTTATAAATGAGATGAACATTTGTCCTGAAAAGCCATTTATTCTCTCCGTCTCCTTAGTAGTCATGTTTTTATTACCTCTTATACTAAGTTAGAGTTTTTTAGGATCTATATTTATGATATGTCCAACAAGAACCAAGCTGATTTATATCAATGCAAAAGGTATATTCAAGGGAAACCTGGAGTAAAAGGTTGGAGGGCTAGAGTATTAAACTACTTAATCAACTTGAAAAACTTGGAGACCTAAGCAGTTTGAATTACTAACTACTAATTAATTAATTAAATTACTAATATTCTTACCTTTTACAACAAGTAAGACCTTTCATTTGTCTTTTTGAGGGCACTATTTTGTTAGCCTAATCCTAGTTACTGCATGTGTTTCAGTACAATAGCAGGATACTTATTTTAAATTCTACAGCTCAGTTCAGTAGTCATTTAGTTAGGACCTGCTATTCACAGTGTATTGAATATACTAAAATGTTTCATTGCTACAACTAGCCATTTCTACCAGTCACCTAAATTACTGAAACTACAGCATGTCCAGAGAACATAAGATGTTCTGAAGACGTGACTTCAGACTATGGGCCATTATAAAATATTATTATTTGGACCCTTTTTGCCAGCTTCTAGGTTAAATAAAACATAGCTGTTCAAGGCCAGTACTCCAGACCAGCCAAATCACAGTCCCTGGGAGTTGTAGGACGTGAGCACTAGAGATGCTCCAGTGGTTTCAGTGTGCATACAAGTTTGACACCCAGTCAGTTAAACACTTGGATTGGACCCTGTGTTTCTTGTTAGGAATCTGCATAATTAACTACTTCCTTTATTTATTGTGAGGATTTAAAAGGGCAGTGAATGCAAACCACTTAGCTCAGCTCCTGGTACTTAACTTAGTGCTCAGTCAGGTGTACCCCCCAAAATTTTAAAAGCCATCGTTAGTAAAATCTTCCCTTTGATAGCATGTCATAAATTTTGTGCCCTGTTGTATTTGATTTTAAGAGCTTAGTGACTGACGAGCTTCTCTGATAAGAAAACAGAGCCACAGTGCTGCTCTGTGCAAGGAATGGTAGCTTACCTAACACAGACTGAAAATTCAGAACACATATGTAACATATCAAGATGTTTCAAGTTAATATAGTATAAACTGAGGACCTCAGTACTGAACAGGAATACCAGAGGAAAAAGTTTTCCCTTTGGTGTGGTTACAATCTGGGAAGATTTCAGAAACTTTGAGCCAGACATTGAAGACAGTTTTTGAAACTAACAGAGAAGGATCTCTTAGGTATGGAGAATTTGATAGGCAAAAGGAAGTCTTTGGCATACAGTGCATATATGGATCTGACTACCTGGACCAGAGAGTGTAACCTGTGTAGCTAAGAAATCAAACTGAGAAATTCTGCAGGGTAGCACAGGAGTGAATTGCCAACAGCCAGTGAGGAACCATTTCAGTTACTTGTACTGAGAAGAATGGAACTGCTTTGGAGTCTGCTTGCTCTGTGTAGAATAAAAATAAATCAGTGAGAGAGGCCTAGGCTGTGGTTATTATAAATGGAAAAGAAATAGAACTCTTATTTATTTATGCATTTATTTAACAAACTTTATCTCCTTTTTACCAGGAATTGTGTTATACATTGGGATGATGTTGATGAGTACAACACTCTTTCTACCCCCAAGTAGTTTATGGTGTTGGGGGAAAGCGAGAACAATGAAATACAGTATGACTATGCATTTATGTAGTAGTATTTCTTAGTAATCCAGCATGTCATTTATTGTAGAGAATGGGAACAACTCTCCTTTGCCCAAATATGCAACCTCACCAAAACCTAACAACAGCTATATGTTCAAAAGGGAACCTCCGGAGGGCTGCGAAAGGGTCAAAGTCTTTGAGGAATGCTCGTAAGTACCCCCACTTCCCCCACAAAACCCAAAAGCTTTTATTATGAGAATTTTCACAGAAGTTGAATAATAATAGTACAGTGATCACCTATATAACCACCACTTAGGTTCTGTATTAACATTTTGTTGTATTTGCTTTATTTGTGTGTGGTAGTGTTTTTGCTAAACTATTTGAAAGTAAGTTGCAGACATCATGACACTTAACCTTAAAAACAATTTAATATTTGTTTCCTAAAAGTAACTGCAGTATTCCTACATAAGCACAGTACCATTATCACACCAAAGAAAATGAACAGTAATACTTAATATCAACTAATAATCATTTGTTACTCACATTTTCTCAGTTCCTTCCAACATGTCATCCGTGGCTGTTATTTTGGGACCTGTATACAGTCAGCATCACACTTTGAATCTAGCAGTGTATGTATTCAAGATAGACCATAGTTCTCACCCAGTGTGGTTTCCTTCTTTTAAGGATCGAATTCCCTTTGGGTTTGTTTTTTTAATCTACTTTTGGTCTTCATTTCTTTAAACAATTTTTTAAAAATTTTGTCTGCTAATACAGGAAACATAATTCTATTACTTTGCCGAATCATGTTACTGTGATGAAGATAGAAGTAGAATTTTAAAGTGGTGCACTTGATGTGTGCTCTCCTATGCTCATATTCTTCTGTTGTCTGGTTCTAGTCAAGTAGTCCAATTTTACACTCAAAAGTTGCTCAGAAAGTATTACAGCCTTGGGTTTTCAGTAGTTTTGACTTCTTGCTTTATAAGCGATGGCTACAGGGTTCTAAGTGTGTATGAGTTTGAGCAAATTAGGTGATGAACATTATTTGGAAATACGGTGATAGCACTTAGCCTTCACCTTCTCATCTCACTGTGGCTGCTAGTCTAAGAGCCATCCTTGTGGCTTTTTTTTTTTTTAAGTTGTTGTTTTCCTTAAGATTTTATTTATTTATTTATTTATTTATTTATTTATTTATTTATTTATTTATTTAGCGAGAAGGGAAGAGAGGGAGAAAGAGAGGGAGATAAACATCAGTGTGTGGTTGCCTCTCATGCACCCCCTACTGGGGACCTGGCCTACAACACAGGCATGTGCCCTAGACTGGGAATCAAACCGGCAACCCTTTGGTTCACAGGCCAGCGCTCAATCCACTGAGCTTCACCAGCCAGGGTTCCATGTGGCTTTTTCTCACTGTGAAACCCAAAATACAATGTGGATATTATCCAGTCTTGTCCATTTCACATAATTTATATTTTTCCTCCATTGTGAACATCTTAGAATCATTTTGAAATATGATATCCTTTTATTCCTTTTTGTGCCCCTCCTGCCTGTGCTTCTTTTAGCTTAAATTCTTAATAATTTGCCATACAAAGAGCATTGTATTTGAATTCTTTCAACTTCTATACTAGGAACTCCCAGCTGTCAGTCTCTTATCTGCTCTTGTGATAGTAATTGAAAACTTTTAGCAACTGCTTATTTAGTTTTGCACCATGTGAGCCTAAAAGCTTGACTGGTGCCAGCTAAGAGTTTATCTGTTTCTTGGATCCCTGAAATTATCTGGGGTATTAGTTGAAACTGCAGATTCCCAAGCCCCACCCAGGTCTAAAGAGTAAATATGGAGATGGGACCTGGATTATGCATCTTTAACAAATACCTCACATGATTTTTATGTTCAGTTTCGAAATGCTGGCTTAGACTTTTTCATGAGAGTCCTTAAAAATAGTTTTTCTATTAATTAAAAATCAGATGATCCAAATAGATCTTTTTGGAGTTGAGCTCTTGATTTACTCATTAGTAGTTCAGATTTGCCTAAGTGCAGAGAAATGGTTGATTGACTTAAAAGCAATTTGAATTTCTTTTATCAATGACTTTGAGTTAATATTTGTTATGTGGGTTGGTGTGCTGTGGTATATGCTTTAGACTGTTACATTTGGAAATTTTCACAAGACTCCACATGTGAGATATAGATATAGATACACACACTATTTGTATGTAAAGGAGGGAGGGAAGGAAGCACAGGGCTCTGTTTGTGTGTGTGTGTGTGTATGGATGGATGGATAAATGTAGATAGACAAATAAAACATAAAGTCAACCTTAACATAGCATGTTTTATGTCATATTCATCTGTTAATAGAAGGTAAGCCTAATCTTTTTTAAATGTACATAGTTATAAATTTTACTAATATAAAGGATATGTAGCAGACAAAAACCTATTCATTTTCAAAAACTTTCATTGCTTTCCAAAAACAAATTAACAGCAGTAACCCAGGAGTGGATTACTTAGAAGTAATTTTAATCTGTTATCAGTAACACAAATAACTCTTAAGTTTAAAAATTAGTCTCTTTTTGTACTAGCTATGCCAAAGTTAGAGCAAAACCCCTTGGATTCAATGGTATTAAAGCAAAGGCTGATTATTGGTCCTAACTGAAAACTTTTTGCTTATTAAATCATTCTTTAAATAATACTTTTTTCTCTAAGTCTTACTTTTGGTTTAAGAGAAGTAACTCTGACTTGAACTACAGGTTAGAGTGAGTTGAGAGTTGATATTTGGTTCTAGAAATGTGTATTTATTTACCCGAAGGAAAAAAGGTAGTTGGATTTGATCCAGAAAGCCCAAGACCAGATTTGCACTTTTTTTCTGTTGCTACATTCTGTTTGATACACACATACCATGGCCATGCCACCTGCACTTGGTCCTTTTCAGTGAAGTCAGACATGCTGTTTCCTGATCCCAGCTAATGAACTCAATCTTAGTTACCTGAGGTTCCTAGGTATTATGACCTCTTTGCAGTATACAGGTATTTTTTCCTTTCTTCCTCTTTCTCCCTCACTCCTTCACATTGTAAATAATTTTGACTTAACCATTTTCTATGTTGATAATTTATGCCTGAATTTAAAAAAGGAAAAAAATCGCATAAGCCTTCTAAAAATACCAAAGAATTCCTTGCATCATTATGAAAACCTGTAATTGTCCAGCCTGTTCATCCAATTTTCAGAAAGGCAGCTAGCAAACAGTTATCTCTGTTTAGATATATAATCCTTTTGGAACAACTTTTTAAGCAAAAGTAAAATTTTAAGACATTCTGAGAGTGGTTTTTTTGTTTTTCTGGTAGTTACAGTTCTTAAGTTGAAGAAAACCTTGATATGTTTGTTGGGTTGGCCAAAAAGTTCATTTAGTTTTTCTCCATAAGATGGCTCTAGTAGTGAGCACTTAGTTGTCTTTAACTTCTTTTGAAACAGTTTTGTTAGATTATATTGTGACAGTCATATCATTTTTTTATTCTCAAAATAGGATAATTTTTGTGTAGCTATTTTAATATTGAGGATGTAAGAAAGTACACATTTTTGGCATATTGTGCTTTATTATTTCAAAAAAGGTAAAAACACATCTGAAACACAGAAAAAGATTTGTGCGGTGTATGGAGAAGGTGCTGTGATTGATTGAACTAGTCAGAAGTGATTTGCAAAGTTTCATGCTGGAGATTCCTCACTGGGACAGTGCTCCATGGTCAGGTAGACCAGTTGAAATTGACAGATCAAATTGAGACATTTAGAACATTCACCATTATACCAGGTTGGAAATAGCCGACATACTCAAAAGAGTAGTGACCAAAAGATGGCACAAGAATAGTGACTCAAAGACAACACAAGGAGGGTTTTCTTAGTGCTTTTTTACTCTTAATGTTCTGTTTCTTGATCTGGGTGTTAGTTAGAGAAAGTAACTTTATATTATTTTTTATAAACATTTTCTTAAGCCTTTTCATGAAAGCAACAAGGAAGTTAAACTCTTGAGATTTTCTCATTTAAAAATATCGGTCAAAAAGTTCATTTGTATTTCAGAAATGCAAGGTTTCATTCTCAAGATCTATTAGTAGCTACATGTATTAAGTAATTTTTAAGACGATAACCTCAAACAAATTAATTACCTAGATTAAAAACCTAGGATTCATTTGGAGGAGGATGTAAAAATTGATTAGCGCCCTCCCACCCCTATCAGCATTAGAAAGTTATCTCTAATAATTCTCTCTTCAAAAGAAAAGTCAGGCCCTGGCTGGTATGGGTTAGTGGATTGAGCATTGGCCTACTAACTGGAAGGTTGCTGATTGGTTTCTGGTCAGGACGCACATGCCTTGGTTGTGGGCCAGGTTCCCAGTTGGGAGTGTGCAAGAGGTAGCCAATCAATGTTTTTCTCACACATCGATGTTTCTCTCCCTTTCTTTCTCCCTCCCTTCTCTCTAAAAATAAATAAATAAAATAGTTAAAACAGAAAACTCAGGCATATTTCATTTCCTATCTTCTTTAACCAATTGAAAACCATACTCTCAGATAGCAAAATAGAGGAGTGTGTCCTTATATCAGCAATATACCCAAATACATTTGTGGGCCTAAAAGTACTTCATGAGTTAAGTTTTTGTTGTGTTTAAGAAAAAATAGTGTACAAATAAAGCAATTTAAATGATGCAATTTTTAAAAATGTAATAATACATTTTCTGTAACCTAGTGCACCCAACATACTGTCATTTCAATATGTAATCATTATAAAAATATTATTCATACAATATTTTGCATTCCTTTTATTGTACCAGGTTGTCAGAATCTAGTGTGTATTCCGCACTGATGTCACATAGCAATTTCGACAGGCCGCATTTCCAGTGTTCAATAGCCACGTGGGGTTTATGACTACCCTGATGCACTGCGCAGATCTGGAGCCTTCCAAGGCGAGGTCTGGGGCTAGTGTCTGCACAGATCCCACATGGGGCACTGAGATTTATCTCATTAAGTCCCCACAAGGCTGGGAGGTAGGGGATGTTCAGTCCATCTCAGAGCTGAGACAACTGAGGCTCAGGGAGGTTAAGTGGCTGGGACCAGGGTCTGCTGCTCCAGGCCTCTGCTGTCACAGCCCTCAGGTGGAGGTTCAGGCTGCGAGCAGATCAGCAAGGTGTCAGCTGGACCTGGGCCTTTCCATGTGAGCCTACTCCCTCATGTAATTTCTTATTCTTAATTACTATATTTGTCAAAACTATTGATGGGTAGTGTTCCCTATTAATTGAAAATATCTGCCCACCCAAAATACTGTCTACATGAAACTATTTTTTTCTTTTAGCACCCACTCCCCAGATCTGTTGTTTATTCATTCTTTAAAACCCAGCTGAGCTGTAACTTCTTTGGAAGCCTTCTTCCTCCACACTCTCCCTCTTCCTTTGTGCCACAGGTTATCCACTCTCCCTTGTGCTACTTCTAAACCTTTCATACCACACTATGAGATCCTCTTGCAGCAGTTCTTAACCTTTTTTGTGCAGTGGACACCTTTGGCAGCCTGGTAATGCTTATGGGTGCTTTGAATTAATCTAGAACTTCTCCAAATAATGTTTTTCAGATACATTAAACACATAGGATTACAAAGGAGACTAATTATATTGAAATATGGTTCTGTCCTTAGTGCCCCCCTCCCTCCCATATCTGTATATTTAGTCTATCCATTGTAGAGTGTTTGATCTTTGGGTCCCCAGAATTTAGTGCTGACTTGGCACACTCAGATTTTGTTGTTTATTAGGAGATGACTACCATGCTTTTATAATATGATCATACCACCTTTTTTTTTTAACCTGAATCTTGTTTTATTTAAGTTCTCCCACCTCAATTTACTTTTAATTTTGTGGCATTTCTTGTTACTTGAGCAATTTTTTTTTAATTTTCATAGAATACATTAATACTAATAACCTTTTCCAACTATTTGAGTAAATTTTCAGGCGCACCTGGGGAAAGGGAAGGATTTGGCTTGAATAAAAGTTTCAGAGAAAAGAGCTGCCATTGGTTTTATTTTGACTTTACATTTCTATTACATTCCTCAGAAGACCATCATGGTTAACTCAAAGAATTGTTTCAGTCAAAGAGATTTTTAAGTACTCCTTAAGTACAAAGAGAAAATTTAGGCCTACCAGATTTTAGTCGTGCCATGGTGGAACTTAGCAAAAGATGAACACTGTATGTCATTTCTTTGCCCTCTCCCTTCAAAATAGTACAGATTTGGAAAACCATGGTAGTGGAACACATTTTGTCTTTAAACATTTAGAATTTATTTTACTTTAGGAAATTCTTTATTCACACTGACTGTCTCAGATCTGTGTCCAGATGCAGTCAGTGGTCATCAGCCTGAGCTACCTGTGTGGTACACAGGGTTGCCAGGGCACTGAAAGCAGCAGGGTGCATGGTGCGTCTGGCATTCTGACATACATATTTAGAATCATGTGTTTAATTCCACTTTGGTTCATAGCATTGAAGCTTTTGACATAGCTTGAGTTTTGTATTCCTTTTATGTATCTATAAGTTACCTGTTTTAAAAAAGTAATAAAAGAATTTATTTCTGGTATTCGTGACTTAAAAGTATTGGGTTGTCTGTTTGCTGTCTAGGCCAAAACAACTTCACGAAATCCCAGCCTTTTACTGTCCTGACAAAAACAAGGTGAATTTCATTCCTAAGAGCGGCTCTGCTTTCTGCCTCGTCAGCATCCTCAAGCCACTCCTTCCCACACCAGATCTTACCCTCAAGGGCTCTGGCCACAGTCTGACAGTCACCACTGGTATGACAACCACTCTGCTGCAGCCGATTGCTGTGGCCTCCCTGTCTACAAACACGGAGCAAGACCGAGTCTCTCGAGGAACAAGTACAGTCATGCCATCGGCCTCTCTTCTCACACCACCAGAACCAATTGAGGAAGCTGAAGGATAGGTCCCAGTGCTGCGTAGCCGTTGTTCCCTCGGATCTCTTGACTGTGATGGCATCATGAGCTCCCTGTTGGCTATGATGTGCTCCACCTTTCCACAGTGACATGTCACGGTACAGCTTCTGGAAGGAAGCAGCCCTCTGATGGCTTTGCTCACTGTGAAGACCAGCCCTCAGTGCTTAGCCTGATTTTCCTAAAGTGCTGGTTGAAACAAAAAGGTCTCATTCTTTACTTTTGGAGGGCTGATACCACATTGTTTTTTGTTTTCAAATTAAACTTCTCTATAAACAAAAACAGGACAAAAAACTGACCCCTGCAAACATGATTCCTGGAGATGTGAATGATGCTGCAAGAACCATCTTTTATATGAAAAATGACTATTTTCTAATACCAATGTTACATTTTCTGAAACGTAGCAAGCAGATGTTCAAAAGATTCTTTGGTGGCCTCTGTTTCTTGTTTCCTTTTCTAGATGTGTGCTTTTCTCAGCTGTTTTCTGCTTTGGGACCAAAGGGATTGTTGACATTTTCCCAATAATCTTAATCTCATGACTATGTTTTTCTCCCAAACAAGAATTGATAGGTAAATACATTGAACAAGTATATGTAAAAAGAAATAAAAAGCAATATTAGTACATTATGTGATTTATGTTTTTTGATGTCAGAAGTTTGTGCTTTGGGTGAAATATTTATAAAACTGCTGTTTTCTTCACTATTCCTGTACACATTTCACCATGTGGTCAGAAGAATTGTAGTCTGGATACGAATGCTTAATATGTTCTCACCATTATTGGAAGTTGTTGGTTTAAAAGTCAGTGAGCCCAAAGGAAGCTACCCAGTGTTGACTGCTAGCTAGGAGTAAGGGTCCCCTTTGGTTTTCTGCGCAGTATTTGTCACATGGTCTCCCTTTACCACAGGTGTTATTCTACCTTTAACCATCACTGTATCATAGTCCCAAGAGATCCTAAAATGACTGTGCATGGATTTTCTCCTTTGCTTTTGTGATGTTGTCTTGTGGATTTGGTCAGGGTTAATAGTTTGTCAGGAGTGTATTCCATTGAATAGCAATCCGTAGTCACAGAATATTGCGACTGACGTTTTCTTTACGGTAGTTGGCACTGAGATATTACCTACAGGTTTTGCTAGTTGTCCCTCCAACATTCCACACAGTGGGGAAAGCAGGCAAAGGAGAGCTCCGAAGCATAAACAACAGAGACCTTTGAAAAATCCATCCAGTTTTGGATTTAGGCCCATCCTAATACAGCCACTCCTAATACACATGTCAGCAGTATTTCATGCCTGGTGTGTGGTAGTAAAATCAAGGAGCAGCTCTTTTAAAAGGGGAGTTTCAGGAAACTGTTGATTTAAAAAATTCCTTCTAAGGTCTTCATATATTACCTTTTGATGCAATAATTTAATGTTCTTATACATATAAAAGGGAAAAATTTTAAATACTTGTAAAAGGGATATAGTTCAGAGGGTTACTATGTCAGTTTATCCAGCACATACCCCATCAGAGAAAACCTAGTGGTAGCAATAAGTCTTCTGAAAGGATTTCTTATACTCATGCACCTTTAAAACATCTAATAATAAAAAAATGTGCCCTGTTAAAGTTAAAATGGAGATGTATTTAAGGAAGTTAGATAAATTCAAACATAAAAGTCTTGTCAGGTTAGTTGGTGAGACTGATGAATTTTGGTATCTTTTTGTTGGAAACTAATTTCCTTGGAATTAGTACATTGTGGCTTCTAAATCAGTGAAAGCCCAGTTATTCAGAATCTAAACTTTTTGGTTGGTTTATTGAGAACCCTGATTTTTTGCCTTTGATTTTACCATTTCACCACAGAGGACTGCTCTATCAGAAGTACATTAAAAAAAAAAACTGAAGTCAGATGAGTTAATTTGAATGGTAGGGAGAAGTTAAAACAGGTTGCAAAAAAACCCTCAGTTTTGGATTACCTGAGTTGTTAAATCCATGTTTCTTTGCTTCACACTTAACTTGCTTCTGTCTCCATCCCTACAAGTTACAAGGGTATGTTTTACACCTAAAATGCCACTTGGTAAAGTTTTTCCTTTTACTCCGTTGTACATGTTTGTCTAATTCACATTTTTCTGTAGAGTTTCATATATCCTTAAACTAAAGTAATTTAAAATAGGAATGGGAGAATAAGTTTAAGATTTATTATTCACATAGTCTTATAAATGGAACTTGTGATGTTGTAACTTGTTTGGTTGTAAGGAGAATGTGAACTTGTAGGTAAATGAATTGTATGGCAAGCATTTATACCCTGGGTTTGGGAGAAATAGAGCCTCAGATTTGAAGGAAAAAAAAAAAGGTACAAACAACTCTAACTGCCAGTGCCAAAGGGCTAATATTTAAACATAGGAGCTTTATTGCAGTCTTAAAAAAATATTAACCATAGGTCCATTCAGCTTTATTTAACCCTTAGTTCACAGTTGATTTTTTTTAAATGGGTTTCCTTAGAATGCATAATAATTGTTTTCTAAAACTACATTCCATAATTATTATTCTACAGAAAACTGTATAGGAAGTAAATAAATTAGAATAACTTCAATGGGAGTATAATTGAAATTTTTTAAATTTTAAATAAATTTATTTCCATTGCAGTAAAAGAAATAGGTGGCGACATATATATATATATTTCAGCAGAAAGGAGCTCTTCTGTGGTTATTTACTTTGTCATTCTTAAGTTATTTTTTTACCTTTAATTTCTTGTGATTAAAATATGTAAATTTACTGTTTTTGATCATAACTAAGTCTATTCTCATAGTTTTTGTGAGCAATTATATTTTTAAAATACCTGTGCTGGGGTTGTTTTTTTTTTTTTTAGTTATCATTGTGAGCATGGATGCCAAAATTATTTTTTATCTAGATTCTTCATTTTGTTTAAAATATTTCATACACTTATGACAAGCCAAGTTGGCCTTTTAGAAGGTGCTGTTGCTGCCTGTGGAATAACTGGCAATAAGAAAGCCTTTTTGTTTTTAATGGTTAGCTTTTACTTGAAGATATAAAGAAATGGCAGAATTTATAGCCTTGTGTATGTCCAAGATTAGGACTGGGATGTCAAGATTTTCTTTTGTTAAAGGAACTAAAAGAAAAATTGCCACTACTGAATTTAACTTGACCATTCTAAACTTAAGATTCATTTCTCAATGCTTGGAATTTTGATGTCTCAAAACTGGACCAGTGGAAGTGCTCGGTTTGCATTAAGCTAAGAATCCTTAGCTCCGCACTTTAAAGTTTAAGTTTTACTCTGCCTAAATTAATGATAAGCAGAGTAGCCCTGAACAATACTTTGTTTATACAATCCTGTTGAAGAATATAATTTATGTTTTTTTAAAGTCTGTATTTTTCATCTCTGTTGAAGCTGTATAAATCTTTTTTCTAAACGCAATTTTTTAAAATTTTGTTTTCTAACAAAATTCTCCCCCAAACAGCATTTCCAATATGATAAATATTGTTACTATGTACTTATGTATTCCCTGTATCTGAACACTTGTTGCTGCCTCACAAGAAAATAGAACTTTTATGTTAAAAATAAAGTCTGTTTACTTGAGAGTTTTTCCTGTGTACTTTTATGAGTACTGCCTCAAATTCATGTTTTCTTTCCATATACTTATAGCCTGAATTAAATGATAAATAATGTATTCTTTTTCACAAATTAATAGAAAAATAGGTGTGTTAAATAGGGTATATAATATTGTCAATTGTTACTTCCTTGCTTCTCCCTTACTTGCTCTAGATTTTAAAGTACGCGATCTTTGTGGTAAATGCTAAGCAAACATTAAATATTAAGCAAGTTTAGAGAAGCATATATATATATATGTTTACAAGTAATTCAGTACTTCACCATTTTAAGAGAATTTAGCTGGGGCAGTCATTTAATTTCTTTCTGAAATATACATAGGAGGGTTTTCCTTCCTTCCTTCCTTCCTCCTTCCTTCCTTCCTTTCCTATCTTTCCTTCCCTCCCTCCCTCCCTCCCTTCCTTCCTTCCTTCCTTCCTTCTTTCCTTTACTTCCCCTCCCCTCCCCTCCCCTCCCCTCCCCTCCCCTCCCCTCCCCCTCCCCCTCCCCTCCCCTCTCCCTCTCTCTCTTTCCTTTCTTTCTTTCCCCTCTCTCTTTCTCTTTCTTGCAATTCATTCTTGCTAAACCAGCCTAATCCTTCCTTTGTGACAGTGGGCTGGGCTGAAGGGTTTAGGCTGTTCCCACACAATACAACTGACTAGTTACATATGCTCCAGGGAGAACTGAATACTGCATAACAATACACTTAGAAAGCATGGACAACTTTAAGTGAAGTTTAAAATGTCACCTAAAAAATAGCCACCGAATTACTTTGTAAAAAAAATTATTTTTGGTGGAAAAAGCTAACCAGAATTTTGGGATAACTAGTGTGTGTATGTATGTTTAGTTATATTGTATGTAACATAACATCAAATGCAGAGAATCTCAAAATGGCTCAAGCTTTCTCCCACTTTTTTCCTGTCTTTTTCCTCCACCTTTAAAGAGGTTGAAGAGTGAATTTAGATCTCAAGTGAGGCGGTCCCCTTTAAACCCATTTATTTGATTATTTTTGTTTGATTCATTAGTATTAAATATACAAAAAAAGTTTATGGCTATAATGATCCTTTCAATTGGTTTTAAGTAGCTGAGTGTGAAATACTTACTGTACACTCTGCATAGCAGTGTTCTGGCAGGTGCAGTAAGTCCTCACTTAATGTCATCGATGGCTCCTGCAACTAAAAAAATGACATATAACAATACCAGTTTTACCACAGTAAAACTGGTACCATTGAGGCTTTACCATTTATATCAGTTTACAAATTGATATAAACAAGCGTTAAGTTCCTATAGCATCTCATCAGTGTTATAATAAAGTGGTGTTTTCATGGACCTCCTGGATATCAATATCAGTTTTTTTTCTTGCTAAGATTAGATATATTTTTTAAATAACTTAAATTTCTAATAGAGTGTGGTATGATGATACAAATAGCCTTTGTACCTCTTCTGTTCAGTGTTTTTAAAACTGTTTGGTTCTTGAAATGAATTAAATGGGTCCAGCCAAAATTTTTTTAATGAAGTAGAATAGAAAGCAAATATATTCGCACATAAGGAGAGTAGTATTTGTGTGTTAAATTTTTGCTGGAAATAGTCTCGTGATGCATAACAACAGGCCATGTATATGGTGGTGGTCCCATAAGGTTGTAATGGAGCTGAAAAAGTCCTGTCACCTGGTGGCATCTGAGCTGTCATAATGTTGCAGCATAATGAATTACTCGTGTTTGTGTAAATCTGTGCTACCGGTGATATAAAAGTTTAACACATAAAATTATGTACAGTACATAGTAATATGAAAAATGACAGTGTTCCTGGTTTATGTATTTCATATACTTATAATTTCATGTACTTTCTACTTAACAAAAAGTTTTCTGTAAAACCCTACACTGTTACATGCACAGCCTCAAACATCAGTTTACTGGGTTTTGGTTGCATCATTTTCTCATGCTTGGTTTAATCTCATGTTTTTTTATAAATTTGGTGCAACCTAAGTGTACAGTGTTTATAAAGTCTGCAGTAGTGTTCAGGAATTTTAGGCCTTCATATTCACTTACCACTCACTCACTCACCTAGAGCAACTTCAGCCCTGCCAGCTCCATTCATGGTAAGTGCCCTACATAGGTATAGTATTTTTAACCTTTTATCGTTTTTTACTGTACCTTTTTGATGATTAGATATGTTTAGATACATAAATACTTTCCATTCTGCTATAATTGCCTACAATATTCAGTACATCAACATGATGTATAGGTTTATAGCCTGGGCACCAGGCTATAACCATACAGTCTAGGTGTGTAGTAGGTTATAACATACAAGTTTGTGTAAGCTTACTCTATGATGTTTGCATGATGACAAAAATTGTCTAACAATGCATTTCCCAGAATGTATCCCCATCATTAAGTGACACATGACTACATACATAGTAAGTTATCAAATAAGATGTATTTTACTGCGTGGAATGTAAACATAATGATTGAGAAGTGTTATAGAGCAAAATGGGATTTGGCCACCTGCCACTGTATACAACCATAAAATGGATTGGTGGGAAGGAAAAGGGTTTTTATTAACAGGGTGCCCAATTTGGGAGAGTTGGGAGGTCTCTTGCCCCAAGCCATTCTCTTCTGTAAAACAAATCTCCGCTCCCCAAAAGACTGAAATCCAAATCCATGCCCAGAGAGCCCTTCTCCATTTCTATCTATAGTGCAAGGCTGCTACACAGATGGGTCTCCATCTGTCCATTCCCAGTCTCTGGAGTGCACACTTGTGAGACCAGTGTCTCCATTGCCTCACTGCAGCCAGTTGTGCAAGGGGCTCCAACTCCTGGGCCCTGGGTCCAGGGCTGCTTATGCTCTTGGGGCCAGGGAAACATTCTTGGCCTTCACATCTGTGTGCTGCGCTCAGGATGAGAGAGTGGGAGCAGTCTAGGACCTGTGCTGTGTGGCCCAGGTCCACAGTGTCCTGCTTGAGCCTGCCTCTGGCAAGCACAAGCCTGCCCCAGACTGAGCAGGGCAGCACAAGAGCTGTGGTTGGGCACATGTGCTGTACACCTGTGCAACCTGGCTCCCCACCTGTGCAAGGGAAACACACAAAGGGAAGGGCTTCTGTATGTCCTCTGTTTTAAATATTTCCCCCCAAATCCTTTGTGCTGCAGGAGGATCCAATTTGTTAGCTAGTTCAGGCAGGCTAATGTCCACTGCCCATCAGCTCAAAATTTGTCCCTGCCCCTCCTCCTGCTTCCATGATCCAGAAGCAAGTTAGGAGGGGTTTTTGGCTGCCCAGGTGCACCAAATCTGCCAGGAATGGGGCATCACCTTGTTACATGTGTGTTGTGACCTTTTCAGCCCCGCATGGGCTCTATGCAAGCTGTCTCTGGCTCCGGGTCACATGGGTGCTGCTTGGTTGCTGAGGCAATGCATCCTGGCTGGCTGGCGCTGTGCTAACTTTTACTGTTGCCCAAAGGTGTGGAAAGGCTGTCAAGGCTGCAATTTCAGTCAGCAGTTCCTCACACCTCCCTGGGATCCCTTCAGGGAGTGCAGCCTCTTGCACCTTCTAGGGTTCTCTCTGCTCCCCAGTGCTTCCCAGCCATCTGACCAGACCTTTCTGTTACAAAAATACTGTTAAGTACAGGTTTTCCGTGTGAGCCTTTGGGTTGGTCTGATAGCAGATAAGAGGCTGAAGTCTTTAAAACATTGTTTCTACATCCCGTTATTAAATATCTTCACACTGGTGGTTTTGTTAAAAAAAGAGAAGGAGAAATAAAAAAATAACTTTTCAACAGTTTGCATTTTGCTCAACTGAGAATTTATCTCCATATACTTGACTTTGTTTGGTTTTATACGCTAGCATGGATTAGTCCTGCCAAAGATTATGTTTTATAGAAGACTATTAGGGAGGCTCTAATGCTAAAAAACCAGAAGGATAAGCATTCAACTCAATTCCAGGCACTAAGCAGTTATTTTTTTAGGTTATGGGGGTACTTCAGAGGAGATGCAGAAAAGCCCCGGACTTAGGGCATAATTTGGGTACTAGTTCAGTTCTGGTTCTGCAGCTTAATAGCCATGGGGTATTGAATAAAGAAGTCATCTCTTTTAATCTGTTTTCCTGTTTATGTGATGAAGGAAATGTCACTGATTGCACTGTCAGTTATATAGGTAGTGAATGTGAAAACAGCCTAGCTTACAAAACTGAAAGCAAACATTTGTGTCCTTATTTTGTTAGGTAAGCTTATTCATTTATTAGGAAGGCAGAAAGTTTTTGGTCATAGAAAATGGCCCTTAGAATTCATTTCACCTTGTAAAGGATAACATAGCCAAGGCTATTGAGCTGAAATCATACAAATAGGTAATGCTGATAGTTTACAAGTGGTAGACACTTTACATGTTACTGTTTACCATAATCTTTATAATAACCCTACGAAGACAGGTATGCTATTTTTACTACCATATAGATGATATAATTAGGATTAGAGTAGGTAATTTATCCATTGTAGTACATTGGGGAAATGTCAAAGTCTGGCCTAGAACCAAGACTGACTACAGAATTCAAACTTAACCATGAAGCCTTCCTGTTGTGTTCCCCTGTAACAGTGACACTAATAAAACAAAGGTTGTTAGGGCCATTGCCCTGTTTGTCCTTTGTGGACAGCACTGCTGGCAGCTTGGCTAAGAGGGCAAATACAAAGCAAGCTGGTGAGACACCAGTTCCTGACCCAGTAAGTTAGTGACACAAATCCTCAAGCTTTCTGGGTTTTAATGTTGCCACAGCTGTAAAAATTAGAGAAACATTTGGAGTACATCTTAGACATGCAGAAATAGACTCCAATCATATTTTTGATGTATTTTTTAACCTTTTTGAAGAAAAGACAAAAGTAGTTTCATCAGTGTCAATAACTTTGCATGCCCATTTCAGATGGAGAAAACAACAGACACGTCACTATTATAATTTAAAGTGTATGTGAGCTCAAAGACAATATAAAATAAATAATATTAACAGTAGCT